AATGACCCATGACAGGAGAAGAAGACCAAACTCTGAAAATAGGGATATTCAAAAGCTGCATTGCTAATCTTTACACACACAGAGGTTTGGAACATCTATTTACATTTTTCATTTTGCAAAAGATACTCCAGATGTTTGTCCTAGTGTCCTATGTTGACATGAATTTCTGATTTATCAACATCTTACAGGCTGAGAAGGTTTTATTCCTGCTGATCTGAGCTTACTCTCACTATCTTAAGATGTTGTCCTCGGCCGGTGCGATCTTCATCTTCCACACACAATCAGATCTTACCAAAACACATATTTAAAAGGCTGCAGAACCACACAACCTGTAAGTGAAGTAAGCTATAAACTCCACAGCTCCACAATAATTATCCTGCTGCTTGTATATTTAGATATAGATGCATGGCCTAGCAGTTAGGTTTCACCCCATGTAAAGACGCTATAGTCCTCCAAGCAGGGGCACCGTATGGGGGAGAAAAGTTCTAATGTAGACTTTACACCAGAACTTAAGACACAACTTACACTTAGCTGGTGCAGAAGGGACCTGGTTCAAGTACGACCATGGCTCCTTTCCTTGATGTCGTCCCCCACTCTCTCTCCCAGATTGCCTTCTCTATCCATGGTCCTATGACCTATAGATGCAAGATGTGTCTCTGTTCTTTGTCAGACTCCAGTTCCAGCAGGCAGTCGTGTAGATCTCCATCTGCACCGTGGGCAGAATACCAGCTCCTCGATGACCACAGCTGGCTTAGCTACATTCTGCCACAACAGGACCTTAACTATAGGTAACGGTAGTCATTTACAAAGATCAAAACACATTGGTCTGTTCAACATTATGACAGTGTTGATCTGAAAAGCTGTTGTTTGTTTGACATCCTTGGTTATGAGTAAAGATAAAAATTAAGATAAACTTTATCGATCCCACATTGGGGGACATTTTTCTGTTACAACAGCTCAAAAAACAGGAATATAAGTAGTCAAAAAATAGCAAAAAGTTAAAAAACAATCTGATGTCTAATTAAAACCTGTCTTAATTATTTCTTGGTCCACTTGAACATTAAATAAGACTTTCCTTCTTGTGTGTCTCAGGCCTCATTTCTCTTTTAAGATAAAGACGAAGTCGTACAAAGGTCTGATCCTTCATGTTGCGGGGCGAGGAGTCGTCCCTCTTCTGGCTCTGTATGTGGCAAACGGAAAAGTCAAGATGTCCCTCGGACATGACAGGATCATTCAGCACAACAAGAAGAGCAATGATGGGGCCTGGCACAGAGTGAGTTTTTCTTTCTGCATGCGTAAGGTTTCCAATATCACAAGTTTGCATTTAGAACAACTTGGAGCTAAGCTAATTATTCCTGTCAGTGACAATGAACTTCAGATAGCTAGCTAGCTAAGCTGGCACCTAAAGCTACACTGCAGCACTTTTACATAGAAAGAGCGTTGGTCAAGCGGTTAAAACTGTGTTTATGTCTGTGGTTTCTGACGTCTTATACTCAGTTAAGATTTGAAAATTGTCTAGCGTGTGGCCAACCTAGTGTGACAGCTTGTCTGTTTGTGTGTATGCGTGTGTGTGTGTGTGTGTGTGTGTGTGGTGTGTGTGTGTGTGTGTGTGTGTGTGTGTGTGTGTGTGTGTGTGTGTGTGTGTGTGTGTGTGTGTGTGTGTGTGTGCAGGTGGATTTCAGTGTGGAGAGGAGATCTTTCCACCTACTGGTCGATGGTGTCCGTGTCACCGATGGACTTCTGCCAAACAACGAGGGATCATCATTAGACCTGATGAACCCTGTTTACCTGGGAGGTGACCCAACAGGCAGAGCCACAAAAGTCTGTATCAAGCCTCAGCCAGTTATTTAGCAGCTTCGTCACATGTTTTCAGTTTATTCTTTCTCTCGTCTCCCCTTGTCCTCCCTCAGGGTCACAATATTCCCATGAACAGTGTGATAGGGTGTGTGCAGGATTTTAATATGAACGAGGAAGCAGTCGGGGAGCCTGAGGGAAGACACAGAACTTTACCCTGCCCTGACATACTCACAGAAACGGGGACTTACTTTGGTGGAGGTCACATTGTGAAAGGTTTGAAAGGTTTCATAGATCTCGATGCATTGACTGCATGTAAAGATGGACGACAAGTTTCCACTTCCTCTTTCCTTGCTACAAACTCAATATTTTTGAAAGTTACATGTAGCCTCTTGTGTTAGTGTTCTCATGTTTCCTCTCACCTTCCCTCCTCTACTTGATAATCTGACTAATTGTCAACAGAGCTGTCAAACATTAACCCTTTTCACACATACGGAAATCTCCTGAAAAACTCCGGAGATTTGGCTACCGGAGGGACTTTAGGCACGTGTGAACGCAAACAGCTGCATTTTTCGCGTAGACTTTACCCGGAGTTCTCTGGCCAGACCCGAGTATTTTATCCGCAGAAAATCTGAGTGAGCAGATGTCTGAACACGGCCTCATATACTCCAGAGATTTCAATTGAGCCAATGGGACCGAGTGATGTTTATATACAGTGACTGCCTAAAGTTTCTGCACACGACCACTACGATCTCCGTGAATGTAATTAAACGGCTGCGTTATGTTTTCTGTTCGTCAGAATGTTGTTCTCCTCTCTTTTGTGGATGTTGTCATTTCATTGGATTACACATAGCATTGATATAAAGGCAAATATTCTCATGATAGCGTCGTGTAGCGGACTCTGTTGCTTCGGCCGCTACTTCCACGTTGTTTATTTACGTCACTTCTTACCTCAGGAAATCCCCCGCCCCCTCCCCTCTGACAGGGAAAGTCCCCCGCTCTGAGGAGCATATGTGAACGGCTAGTTCGGGAGAATCTCTGGAGCGGTCCTCCTGCAGTTATCTAGATATTATCCGGAGTGCATATGTGAAAACGGCTATGGTAACATCTGCTCCTTTTTAAAGGATCACATTACATATTTTAACCAATATTCTAAGAAAAATTAACAATTGGACATAAATCAGCACGATAAGAATTAACTATAAAGATAGAAACCATGTTTAGGAAAAATTTATTTAACGTATATTTTGATTTTATAGTTCACCACATGTCTTTTCAGTTAACATGGACAGGGTGGAAATTGTGACCTACACTAGTAGGGGCAGCTCCAAGTCTTTTGGCTTCACATTTTCTACAAGCTTGCATGACGTCCATCTTTTTATACAGTCCATCACTCGGATGTATCTAAACACAAAGAACAAGCAGTTAACCTAAACATAATGAGCTATATTTCTGTTTTAGATCATTTCTTCACTCTAAGCTCTCAGTTTGTTTTGAGCTTCGAGCTGCGACCTGAACACCTGACAGGTCTTCTCTTCCACGTTTCCAGTCACAAGTCCAGCTTTGATATGTTCCTGATCGAAAACAAGGTGAAACTTTTATTGTAATCCAAGAAAAAAACACATTTAAGGAACCAAACAGGATGTCTTGAAGAGACTGTGCACATTACTGTCTTCAAGTCAAGATTCAATTCAAGTCAATAAGGTTATGCATCATTCTGATTATCAAATATACCCTATATGTAAAAATATAGTGGAGTGATGACTTCCTAGCAAGAGAGTCAATCAATCACTCAATCACTCAATCACTCAATCAATCAATCAATCAATCAATCAATCAATCAATCAATCAATCAATCAATCAATCAATCAATCAATCAATCCATCCATCCATCCATCAATCAATCAACCCATCCATCCATCCATCCATCCATCCATCCATCCATCCATCCATCCATCCATCAATCAATCAATAACTGAAAACAAATGGGATCTCATGACACTTTACAGAAGAGTAGGTCTAGACCGTACTCTTCGTTTTATTATCTACAAAGAACCAACATTATTCCATCATGAGCAAAGTGCTAAGTAACTTTTAGCAAAGTAACAGTGGAAAGCAAAAATGGCCTTTAAGAATCTAAAACCTCAAACAGAACCAGACTCATGTTCAGTCATCTGCCGAAACTGTGTTGGGGTTGAGATTGGAGAGAGGGAGGTGCAGGAAGAGAGAGATTGATAGAGACAGAACAACAACAACAACAATGAATAAGATACATTTATAGCTACAATATCAATAATAATGGTAAAAGTATGTGTAGTATTAGCAGTATCAGCTAAATGTGGTAATGGACTGTTCAGTCTAATAAATAGAGTGAAATCAAACTCCCTCTGGGTTTGTTGTTCCTAGCTCTGTCTTCACACTGATGGGAGGGGTGCTTCCTTCAGCTCGTTTATGTTTCACTCAGAGGCTCAAACATTTTTCAGACATGTTATTTTCACATGAACCCCTACCTCTCTAAACTTTAGACCTGATACGAAGTGAGGGAAGAGATACAGCACAGCCCACTCAGCGACGATGTGTCTAGGGGCAATATAACAGAGTCTCATCCCATGAGTACAACCGGAAAATCAACAGACTCTACAAACCGAAGAAAAGATTTTCTTTGGCCTAAAATGACAAATAGGTAGTACTAACTGAATGCTTATCGTCACTTGAAATTGATCGCATAATCTTGTTTTTAGATGTTAATCTCTGTCTCCAACATGAGACAGGAAGGGAGGGGCAGGGGAAGTGTGGAGGTATGGAGGGAGCTGAGGGATGAAGGAGGGGTGTCCAAAGAAAGCATTTGTTTTGGTCTGAATATCTGCTCTAAATGTGGCAGAGTAAACCTTAAATGTTAGTTTTGTTTCAGTTTGGAGTTACTATGATTTGGGTTTAATAGTCTCCAAATATGAGGTGAGGTTCAGTTAGCTTTGCACAAAAACAGTCGCTAGAAATGTCCTTCAAAGGGACACTTATTTACTTTGAGACTGTGAGCACATTTCAGACTGAAGAACTTTACTTCATACAAATTATATGGTAACAGAGCTAAATAAATATTTTAAAGGCCCTGACACACCAAGCAGACAGACAAGCACTTGTGGCTAAGAAAGGCTGCCTGACGCCTTTTGTCTTGGCCAAAAAGTTGAACTAGAACACACAGCAAAGACTGCAGCCGACGGCCAACCACCACGTACGTTCTGCACAAGGCTGAGAGTAAATAACTCTCCATGCCAGCAATCGTCATTACAAAAAGGGGAAAAGGACGAGGAAGAGCGCAGATAAATAAACCATTGTTGAGATTATGAGAAGACAATTTTCTCACCGCCGTCGCTCAACACATGTAATATAGATACTTCTAATTGAGAATAATGTCTGATAAAAAGTTGAAAAAACACCGCAAAAATTAGGGGGGCGACCACTCACTGACGGACCGACGGTCTCCTTGGTGTGTCAGGGCCTTTACTTTTAGCTGAGTTATTTTTACACATGTATCTGTATTTCCACGAGACTTTTATGTGTGCACTTTTTCATCCTCTGATGTTTTATGCTTGTTACTTTTTTGAAGGTTGGTGTCAGCCTGAAAGCTGGGATGAACACTGTGAGTCTGTCAGTGACTCCCCCTCAAAGCCTCTGTGACGGGAACTTTCACCTGGTCACAGGTAACTTCACTTCTTAGTGACATAGTTACTAAAATCTGATGATTATAAGGGGAGATTATATGACATTATGTTTTTGTCCTGCAGTGTCCAGACAGCATGAAGTCGTTCAACTGGAGGTGGACTCCTGGTCAGAGCAGAAAAAAGTACCCTTTGCCTCCACCTGGAGCTCAACTAAACCGGAAAGTCTTTATATCGGAGGTATGCTCATAATAACAACATCACATTTGAGAAATAACCCTGAATACATATAGAGGAATGTAGAGAAAATAACAAATATATTAAAAAAGTAAATTAATATGGGATCAAAAGACCCAAAAGTAATATTACTGTAAAAAGATTCAATGAATTATTAGACATCAACTTTTATCTTTAACTCATATTTTGTACATAATTGTATTCACTTTTCTTTAATTTTTGTTTCATTTTCCCTATTTATACTTTCATATTTAATTTCTCCTTTAATTTATGTTCTAAATATTTTAATTTAATCTCTGAAAAATAAAAAGAGGTAAATATTTAGTTTGATGAATGAATATAAACATAGAGACACATAAGAAGCAAATTAAAATACTCAAGACTGTTACTTTTATCTGTTATTTTTTTCTATGAATTAATTTCTCTATGTATTTGTTATTTTATGTGTTTTTTTAAGGGAGGGGGGGTACAATAATCAAAATATTAAATTCAAGTTTTATTTACACATCTATTCATTTCTGATTGTGTCCTCTATGTACACACACATATTCAGTATGAATACATCAATTTTAATTTATCACATTCAGGAAAAAAGTAAAGTTTTCCAAAAATACAGAACATATGAGAATATTTTATACTTTCTGTTTTTTCAGGAACAACAACAAAACACAAACTCTTGGTGTCATCTCCATTTTTTGGATGTTTGAGAAATGTGAAGCTGAATGGACTTCATGTTTCTTTTGAGAACAGATCCAGATCTGTTCATCCAGTCACCATCAGAGGATGCCCGGCAGAATAAAGACATGTAAACAATGCATAACACACCAACTTCTTCTTTTTTTTTTGTAAACAACTTAGTTTTTTTACAATTACAAAAGTAACAAAATAACTCCCACTGTCAACCCTCCCGTCACCACCAGTCCCAGAAAGAGATAAACAGATACATATAAACATAATAACTTCATACAATATGAAGGTTCATCCTCAAAAAATAACAAACAATTGACAACTTTTCAGGGATTGCACAAATGTATTTTCAATTTAAATAACACATCATTTTTAAAGCACTGAAACAAACAAAGAGATGGTCATATTTTAAAATCTTTCCGCTTAAGGAACGGAAGAATCGTTTTTTTCCATTAGTAATGTCTGTAGTAAAAATGGATTTAAAAGTCACACTAAAGACAGAATTTCACTCGATGATCAACCTATTTTTTGATTAATGACCATCATTGGTTGCAACTTCAAAGTGTCTTAAATTTGAATAATTTTTTATCTTTTTTTTATCAATTCAATCTTTACATTATTGTATGCATTTGCATGTAATTTAGCTCACATTTTGTGTTTTGTTTTGAAAAATCTGTGCTGTAAAATTAAAACAACTTCCCTGGGATCAATAACAAAAACACTTTGTCCTTTGGTTTTATAAAATGAAGCACTTTTAACACTTTGTATTTTGATTTTTTTAAATAAAACACTTCGAACTTTGGCTTTGAAAAATAAAACACTTCGAACTTTGGCTTTGAAAAATAAAACACTTTGAACTTTGGCTTTGAAAAATAAAACACACTTTGTCCTTTGATTTTACAAAATAAAGCATTTCTTTACTTTGGTTTTACAAAATAAAACACTCTGTTCTTTGGCTTTACAAAATAAAACACTCTGTTCTTTGGTTTTAAAAAATAAAACGCTGTTCTTTGGTTTTAATGTCGAAATTTTTCAAATCTTATCGAAAATGCTCATGAAAAAGTTTTGTTGAAAATTTTCATGAAAAAAATTTGACCACGGACCAGTCAAAATTTTTCAGGAAAAATGTTTGACCAAACTTTTCTTGAAAAAATGTTGACCGCGCCCCTGTCAAAAATTTTAGTAAAAAAATGTTGATCACGGACCTGTCAAAATTTTTCATGAACAATTTCGACCATGGACCTGTAGACAATTTATAAAAATGTTGACCTGTGGACATTTTTCTTGAAAAAGTGTTGTCTCATCATTTCCCAACTTGCCTGAGGAATTACCCATGGAGTCTCTTTTTTCCCATACTGCTCCAGACATTGCTTCACATTAAATGTTAAAAAGAAACTTGACTCACAACTCACACTACCAATAATAAACTATGCCGACATTGTTTACCAAAATGCATCTAAAACTGATCTTCATCCCCTTAATGTTTTACATAACAGACTGCAGATGTATACTAGGTTGTTCTTTTTTTACACATCACTCTACAATGACACACTCAGCTGGCTCCCTCTCAATGCAAGACGTCAATTTCACTGGTATCAAGGTTTTTTTCAAATGTATTAACTTGTGTCAGCACTGTTTATGTTTATTTGTCTCTGTGTATAGACTGAGCCTCTCTTCTCTAAGGTGTTTAGTCTGTTGTTGTAATGGTTGTAGTTTATTGTTGTTGTTGTTCTTAGTGTTTTGTTTTGTTTTGTCTTTGTATATGTTTGTTTGGGACAATATTTTTTAACATTTTGACTAACTGACAGTTTCGTAACTGGGAACAAAGTAATTCAAATATCCAGTCCCACCCACAAACAAAGGAAATTCAAAACAAAGTTATGGATCATTTCTAACCTTTTAATAAAAATTATAAAATGAAGATTTGGATTTGAGAACAATAAATGCTCCCTCTGTAAAAGCCATATTTAGACACCGAACATCTTTTTGTATTATGCTCTCATACTCAGTGGATCTGGAGGCAGTTCATGGAACGGTTATACAGCAAAACTAGTGACCTGATTTTCTGGTTACAGGTTTCTGTCACTTTAATGAAATTGAACCCTATAAGCACCTTAAATTCATTAAAGCCAAACTAATGGTAAAGGGACTTGAGCTTGTTTATTTCTAGTCTTCTGACTACTCAAAGCTCTTTTACATCGCCAGTCACACCTACACATTCACACATTGATGGTCAAGGTTTCTATGTAAAGTGACCATCAGAAGTAACTAATCCTGTTCATACACACTCATACGCCGCCGTGTCTTGCCCAAGGACACATCGCACATGTTGCTGCAGGTGCTGGGGATCGTTGAGAGACGATGAGCCAAAGGTCTCTTAAATGTAGTCAAGAATGACCTCACAAATTAAATGTCTCAAAAGGTTTGTAATTATTATTATTTATTTTTTTTGTTTTTCTTGTTTATTTATTTAGTATTATATATTCTGCAGTGCTATGATTTTATTTTTCTAAGTGATCTAGTTTTGTTCTGCTTAAGGATTTATGAATGTTTGCCTTACAGTTTGTAAACGTGTATGAACTACAAGAAAGTTAAAAAAAAAAAGAAAAGAAAAGAAAAACCGCTTTCTATTGTGTCAGACACATAAATCAGACATTGCACTCCTCAGTGTGGTTTGTAGTGTAACACTGACTTCATCCAGCAGGGGGCGGTAATGCAACACTAACAGATGCCTACTGCCATAAAAAGCCACCGAAGAAGATCAACCTACCCCACCGTCTTGTTCGACCCCTTGGTGAAGCACTTCAGCTCATTTGACTGCTGCTGCCAGAAGATTCAGAAACACTGTTGATTTACTGACTCTAATATGTTTCTAAAGCTTTGTGCTGGACGGAGTTCTTTATTATGGTAAGAGAAGAATGACAGAAATGACTGCTGTGTAGTTGGCTTTCTGAAACCGGTCCGTTCCTTAAGCGTGCTTTTGGCCGTACATCCGATGTGTCTCTTTTACCCTGTTGTGTGTGTTTTCTTTAACAAGCCTGTTCAACATCTAGAACAGAGGAAATGACTGCGGAATACACTGTCAAAAATGAATACTTGTGTTTTGTATGTGTTCACCAGGACAGTGTCACCACTCCGCCTGCACCCTGCAGCGCTGCTCCATAGTCAAACTCCTCATCTGAACTCCAACAGGACCTCAGTGGTGCGCTGTGGTCGTCAGAAATATGAGAGATTATACCCAGTGATGCTGGTCCGGCCCGATGGATCTACAATCAATATCAGATACAATGAACCCAGACGCCTCCTCTTGGTTTGTACACTCTCTTCTTGACTCCCTGCTCTGTTTAGGGCTTCTAATGTCTCATTAATTTGGAGAGAGAAAACAAGTTGTTGGTGCTGTTATTTTAAAGAGTAAATTCTGCATGCAATTGGCATTCATTAAAAGTGTAGGCACTGATCACCTGAAAGCACCTTCAGCTCACAGGTCAGGGTTCCACTCAGTTTGTCAAACTTGCTCTGTTATCAGGCCCATCATTTACAGTTTTCACGATTATACACACAGCTTTGTACACATTTTAAAATTAAAAATTAAAACTGAAGTCACTGACACATCCTAACCCTTGCTTTGTTTTTATTTTTAGGATAACTGTGATGACATCAGTATAAAGTCATTTGATTACTTTGTCCAGCTTATGCTCTGTACAGTTTACTTTTATATAGCTTTTAATGACCTGTTGAGAAATTCTTACCATTATAATTAAATAGCAAGTCACATTTTGAATAACAGTCTTTATTTATTGAAGATCTCTTGCAACATCCTGCTCTATTACAAGCCTAACCTATCTCTGTTAATATGTACAAAACAAGATATTAAGACAAACCACCCTACAACATATGTGATCATGATTATTAATGTTTTGTAAGTTGATTGGTGTTTCTCTTTTGTGTCAAAGATGCCAGTGAACCTGTCCACTGTGTCTGAAGAAGAGCGTCGAGCTCGGCAGAAAAAGAGAGAAGTAAAGAGAACGGTCAAACAGACAGCCGTCGACTATGAAGATGACTTCAAAGCTGACAAATACAGCCACTTCTGGAAGAAGAAATAATGTCTATTTGACAACTGATTATTTTTCTGAATGTAAACCATATACGTTCCATCATCCTTTCAATAATTCTCAATTTATTTTTCCTTTTGTCTTTTTATAAATTGGAAATATTAATAAAGACTTAAATTGTGGGGCAATGAAACCCAGACCCAAGTACATTTTAATTTCAGTTTGACAAAGAACATGAAGTACAGTAGTGTTACAGTTTTAAAGTTTGACTCTTTTTCTTTTTTTTGCTTATTCAAAGTGTACCCTGATGTGTTATCTGACAAATATGGAAATGTAACAATGTTAAATTAATAAATAGTGTTATTTGTAAGCCTGATTTTGTTTTCTTTGAGACACTAGCTGACCTCCATACTCCCATTAACCCCTGATCTGCTGCACCTGAAGAACATCCTAAATCAAAACCAACTGCAGTCAATCAGATGCATGGCTTCAGCCATCATTTTTCCCTTTCTTGGAGTATTTGTTTTACATTGTTTGGCAATAAAGGTTATTTTTGACTCCTTTATGTTGCTGCCCCTGAGCCAGGGATGTAACATATTAGGGCTCATCTGGGAGAGAATATCCATGATGTGTGGATATGTGTGGTATGTGTGTGTTTTGTAAGATTTATTTTTGGGCTTTTTGTCCCTTTAATGGAGAGATATGACAGTGGACAGAGCTAGAAATCATGGAGAGAGAGAGAGTGGGGAATGACATGGGATTTGAACCTGGGCTGCCAGCTTTGAGGACTATAGCTTCCATACATCGGGCGAGTGCACTAACCACTGCGCCACCAGCGCCCCAATATTGTGTGTTTTTTGTGTAACTTTTTACACTTTTTTTGTCCTTGTTACTTTCCTGGTTTAGATTTTGCTAAGGTGTTTTGGTCAGTTCATTAGGTTAAAATGTTGTTGTTGATGGCCCCATACGGCCACCTTACCTAATACCTGTAAAGGCTTTATATATGATTTTTTGAACCAGCAGATGTCGCCCTTGAGCACCAGCATGAAACCAAAACAACTTGCGCTGCATTGTTGTGTTA